AAGAATGAAGTTCACTTGGTAAGTCTTGCCACTCTCAGCCTAACCCACCTCAGAGATTCATTGCAAGAACAACATACATGGATAGCTCAATGTATTCGCCTTTGCAGGAATGTGACAAAATAAACAAATCCTATAGCAGAAATCTCCACCTGGAATTGCCTCATTTCCCAAGAGAGACAATTAACTAGCACCCAAAATCTCACAAGGCATTCTTCCTTTGCTGTCACCTCTTCTCCAAATCTTGCGAAAACAAAAAAACCCAACCATGCAAAATTGCTCACCCCACTTTCAACAAATCACCAAACACCTAGAGCTAGGAACCTGCTGTTGTTACATGATTTACATCTTCAATGTACCTTCTCGTTAATGCCCTTTTGTTGAAATCAATGGAATTTAGGCGCAGGTTTCAGGTATCTTGACTGACTCCCATTGAAAGCAATGGTGGGTATTCCATTGAATATTTTTTTCATATGATGTATAATTACTTTGTAGAAGTCACTCTCACATGATATAATGACTGCCAGATTCAGGATTCAGAAAGGATAGGGCTAAGAGACTCTGAAGCAGAGTAAATTATGCAAGAATAAGCAAAATAAGCAAATTTGTCAGAGTGGGATAGTTTGTTCAGGCTGCAAAATTTATCTACGAATCAAACACTGTATATCCATATCTACACATGACGATCAACAATACAACAGATGCAGTACTATTATTTACATTGAGAAATCTAGCATGATGAATACAAAAGACCTGTGCAAGTTTTTGATTACATCATTTGAATCAATAAATGTTTTGTTCCTGTGAAAGTCACCATGAAAATTCCCCCAAGTTCCTTTACTGTTGTTGCATTTTAACTCCAGTTCTTTCCCCTATAGATATTCATATTTGCAATTTTAGTAGTTATATGAAATCAAAACCTGTAAACTGCAGCAGTTTAAAACCATAAAGCAAAAACAGAAATATTTTTAAATTAAAAAAATAATGCCTTTCAACAAGTTATTTTTTCTTAAACCATCTAGTTAAAAATTTTAATTGGCAAAAATAATTTCTGGGGAGAAGATTTAGGGCCAAACTCTATAAATGAGATAGCCATCACACAGTTAGCAATTGTGTGAATGGATTTTTTAAAATAAATGGCAGCTTTGGGAGGCCCAATCTGAATCAGGGCACTGGCATGAGGTATAGGAGAGGTGTTGTTTTGCACAGTGGTCCTGATTTAAATCAGGCCCCCTACTCCAACTCTTCACCTTTGGAGAGCAGGGAGAGAAGAAGCTTGCATTCATTCCACAATCACCAACTAACTGTCAGGGTGTTTGGGCCACCCTCCACTAAAAAATAAAAGCAAGATCAAACTTCTACACGTATGTAACCCAAAATCTGGCTCCCAAAGAGACCAGTTCTTCAACATGCATGAAGGATCTAAATGAAGAAATGTGTGTAACTTTGGCTTATCATACCATTTTTTCTGCCTTTCTACAATGATCACTAAAAATCCAATTCAACATATACCTTTGACCAGGTCACATGCACACTGAAAGCCTATCGTGTGTAATCAAAAGAGCTCAAAACCTGTTGTAGGTTTGGCTGGGGTTTGGGTTTTTTTAAGTGCAGAGCTATGGTTCTCAGGACACTGCCCATGCTTATGTGGTACCTGCACGGAATACAGAATCATGGAATACAGGTATGTCTGCAGATGCCTTCTGAGCTGTCTCATTTGAGAGCAGCTCCTTAACTCATTTCTTGCTCTCCTTGCAACAGTTACCAGATGGCAAGTCAATTTCCCTGTACAGTATTTGGGAATAGCTCGCAAGTTATTCTAGGTCAAGAAGCTCTCTCAGAATTGCGTTTAGCTTTTAAGCACGGCAGCAGTGACAGACACACACACACCCCCTCGCCCCTACAGCTCCCTAAGCAGTTAAGAACAAAAAGAGATAATGCTGTATATTATTCGGTGTTCTTCGTAGTGCTTTAAAAAGCCATTCAGGAACCTTTCTCTGGAACCTTCCCTTGAAGCGTCAGTAAAGCAGACTGGAGGCAAGAAGTATTCCCCCCCACACACACACACACTCCACGCTCCCCACATCCAAGCAGGGGTGATGTCACTGCTAGCCAATTGCAATGAGCCGTGTGCACACATGCAAGGGGAGGAGGGAGATTATGAGGACTCCACAGATGGCTCCAGCTGGGCCTAGCATTTGATTAATCGCTTGAATTACCATTCTTTGCTACAAAATAATAAAATGGGGGAAGGGAAAGCAAGAACAAACACTAAAAAGCAATCCAGCTGCTGAGGGCTACCCACAAATAGAGAGCCGGAGGGGAGGGTCTATTGTGAAAGGATGGCTGCTGAACTGAATAGACTGTACCTGGGCTCTTCGGAAGAAGGGCAGCAGGCTGTGTGGGAGACAACAAGGTCTATACGTCATGAGATAAAAGCTTGCCTCCTTGCTTTTCTGTTTTGTAAGGCTGGTAGCAAGGATTTAAAACCCAGCATGTCAAAAAGAGCGAGGCATACCTCACAAGGGTTGCCAGACTCTCTTTGTTGTTGCCGTTAGCTGTGCTCTTCGGCCTGACGTGCAGCTTAACCTGCTTAATTTCTAAATGCCATTGGCAAATAAGCATGACCGATATAAAAGATGATGGCAACCAGAAGCCTGCAATACAATACACACTTACCTGTGAGAAAAGCCTACTGAATGCAGAGGGATTTGCTGTCACATAAGTGTGTATACAGTGGTACCTCGGGTTACCTACGCTTCAGGTTACAGACTCCGCTAACCCAGAAATAGTACCTTGGGTTAAGAACTTTGCTTCAGGATGAGAACAGAAATCGTGCTCCGGCGGCGCAGCAGCAGCAGGAGGCCCCATTAGCTAAAGTGGTGCTTCAGGTTAAGAACAGTTTCAGGTTAAGAACAGACCTCCGAAACGAATTAAGTACTTAACCTGAGGTACCACTGTACTTCCTTGGGAGTAAGCACCATTGAGATTAAATTCCCTGGGTAGAGCAAAACCACATATTTTTATAAAATTTCCTTCCTTTCACCTGTCTCCTCCTCGGCTGTATGAATAAGCATCCCAGCTTGCCTTTGCTATAGGGCAGCATGGCAAAGCCTTGCACTTACACCTATTTTTAGATCTCATAGTGCAGCTGCACAGTCTGCTTCAGTCTATTCTGCTCTTCTACTGGACCACACGGCTGGTTGGCTACGATGAACATGGGGATATTCAGTGGGAAACGTATGCCTCATTTCACAGGGTATATCTGCACACCTGATTGTGGAATCAGGTGTTCCTTATGGGGAACATAGGCAGTTCCCTTCTGGGTGTGCTCTATTACATCCGAAGGAAACCTTAGTGTTGGGCACTTATGCCCTTCACACCCAAGGTGAAGGAGGCTGCATGCCAGCCCCAAGGAGCATAGCACAACAAAACTTGTTAGTAAAAAGGCAAAGTAGATGTGAGCAGAGGTTGACTCTGGGAAAGGAGGTTGATGGAATTGATCGACAATTTAGATAATGAGGCTGAATTGCTTGCCCTCAAGGTTCTAGAAAGAAGAGGCACCAGTAGTTAACCTCTCCTGCTTCAGAACATTGGCAAACAGAAGACACACCGTGCCAAATGGGCATTCAGAGTTATACCACCTCTGTGTCATTCACTGCCCTTTGTAAGGAAAAAGGATCAAGAATGATGGCTCGTCAGGAGCACAACGCTGCTCCTTCCTCTCTTCTGCACACAATTTGCTCTGCATGCAATTATTTTCATTGACATAAATCCTACTTCAAAGGATTATCCCTGCTAACCCACGGCTCTTGAGGATAGATTATGCATCAGGCAACTGAGTTCAGAGAGACACAGAACTAGGTTCGATGAATGAATAGAGGGAACACTGCCTGTATTACAGAAACTCTGAGGTTTCTTCCACACACAAATATTTTTAATGCTGTGAGTTTGGTGTGTTTTTTTAGTGATCCTCTGGAAACAAAATTTAAAAAGAGTTTCCTCATAGCACTTAAATAGCACTATATTATCAGGCAATGTGCTATTTCACGGCCAAGAGCCTTTCACAATGTTTACTTAATAGTAAGCCCTATTCAGCAAAGGTCTCTTTTCAATGTTAATTAAAAACTTCCTGTTTGCAGGTTCAGCCTGTTTTATTGCTGACCATTGAGTATCCTGGGGATTATTGATGAACAGCCCTCTAATACCCCTTGAACAGCCTCTCTTCATTGTTCCTTATTGTAATTTTCTGTTATGATGAGGGGTTAATTATATTTTCTCTTATTCCCCGCTCTGGTTTCATTTTTATACAGCAAAGCAAAAAAAGTAGGTACTTTCAGAGAAAAGAGTTTGTGTAGAACCAATCTTAAAAGACTTTTGCATTGCCAATGAATATATGTAGCAATCAGAACTGCAAAGCATTCTCAGTGTTTGTGCAGCCTTATATGTTAGTTAATACTATGCTTGTGTTAACTCTATTTGGTCCCCACTATGTCCAAAATAGTTTTGGTTTAAAGGCAGAACTACACATTTTGTGTAATCCCAGTATTCTCTTTGAGTACGAATTTTGTGTGTGTGTGGTTGTTTTTTACCACAATGGAATTGGGAATTATGCAGCCATGATGGAAGCAGAAGATTGGAAATGGAGGAGAGCAGTTTCTTAACCCTTTCTGACTCATACTCATATTTCTCCAATAAGGATAAAAGCATCTGGTGTGGGGCAACTTTCAGTAGAAAAACAGCACATGGGGAGAGGATTAAAAAGCTCCTCTTTGCTGGTTCTGCACTGGCCTTCCTTTTGAACTGCAACCTGGGCTGGTGCATATTTGTAAATGAAAAGGTCTCTAATAGGACCACTATGTAGCCTAAGTCCCAACTTAATACAACAGCATTAGCAGATCATTTATTGCATTGCTTCATATGTCAACTGCCCTTTGAGGCTACACAGGAGCACTGAGTCACAGCAGGATTGAAGGGTGACCAAAGGCACCAAGCTTAAGTACCTTGATATTGGAGGCTGGCTGGATGAGCTCTGTGATGGATACTTTGTCTTGCTGAAGCCTTCTCTTGACCAGCTTGGAGCAGCAGATGTTGACGGAGCTGAGGACATGCCACGAGTTGTACTCCACAAAGGAGCGACTGTCAATGACCAGCATGCTTTCGGACCCATTCCTCAAGAGGCTGGCAAGCTTCTTGGGATCCATCACTTTGCGTGGAAGTCTGTCCCCAGCCATGGTAGACTTGTCCCTTCCGCAGCAAGTGGGAGAAGGGAAGGAATGCCCAGGGCAGGGGAAGCCAGCTCAGATCTCCCAGAAGCGAAGGGGGCAGGGGGAAGGGGGGAGGCAGCTTGAAAACAGCCAAATTTTGCCACGTTGCTAAGGCCCTGTATAGCATGTCATTGTGCCAAACCTGTTGAGAAGTACAGAGACAGACAGACAGACAGAGAAAAGAGAAAGGTGGAAAATGTAGTCAGATGCTGTAAGTATCATATACCAAACTGGTACTATTTTGCTCTTCTCTAGCTTAGACATATTTAGGTGGGACGCGGCTGGCACTGTGGTCTAAACCACAGAGCCTAGGGCTTGCCGGTCGCAAGGTCGGCAGTCTGAATCCCCGCAATGGGGTGAGCTCCTGTTGCTCTGTCCCAGCTCCTGCCAACCTAGCAGTTCGAAAGCACGTCAAGTGCAAGTAGATAAATAAGTACCGCTCCAGCGGGAAGGTAAACAGTGTTTCCGTGCGCTGCTCTGGTTCGTCAGAAGTGGCTTAGTCATTCTGGCCACATGACCCGGAAGCTGTCTGCATACAAATGCTGGCTCCCTCGGCCTATAGAGCAAGATTAGAGCGCAACTCCAGAGTCGTCTCAACTGGACCTTACGGTCAGGGGTACCCTTACCTTTACCTAGCTCAGGTTTGACAAAAGCTACATAGAGTTCTATAACAGAGGTGGCTCCTCCAGATGTTGCTGAACTACAGCTTCCATCATTCCTGACCATTGGCCATGTTGACTGGCGATGATGGAAACTGCGAGTCAAAAAACATCTGAAGAGCCATATGTTCCCCGTCCCTTTTAAAGCAGGCACCACAGTGCATTGAATGGTTTAATGGATCAGCCATCCAGAGAAAGAGAGAAAGAAAACCCTGAAATTATAGATGGCAGCCTGGAAATGATACAGCCTGGGGCTTTTGACCTTGATGCTGAGCATCAGTGTATCATCTGTACATCACTCACAACTAAAGAAAAAGAAAAAAAGACCTCAACTTTTCTGGATGCTTCACTGATCTTCAATCCCACTCTGTTCTGTGTAGAAGAAGGGTTCTCAAAGTATGTTCCAGGGAGCCTGGGATTCCTCTATACCAAAGGGAACCTGTGGCCTTCCAGATGCTATTGTACTCCAATTCCCATGACTCCCAGGTAGCGCAGTCAATTATCAGGGATGTTGGGAGCTGTAGTTCAGCACCATCTGGAGGACCACAGATTATCTCCCCTTCTCTAAACCCATCATGAGCCATTCAAAAAGAAGGTTTGTAATGGTGAAGCTACCAATGAAAGCACGCTCACCATTATGGATCAAACCCTGTAATACGTAGCTGCAAGTCAATATGCTCTAGATCACTCTATTATTTCACATGCAAAAGGTACAAGACCCAGCAGGCATGGCCACCATATGCTCTGGACTAGAGAGCAATGTGCTATTGTTTCTCAGCAGACAACTCACTGTTGGGAAGGGGTCCCTGCTAGTAGAAACTCTGAAAGTCATTGACATAGGTCATGAAAACCACAGGGTGGGGGACGTACTGTTTAAGTTTACACTGGAAGAAATACTACCCCCATTTTGTACCCCTATTTTGCAAATAAAGGTTATACTGGGGTGGGGGAGAATAAAACAGAGGCGATATACAGAAATTTCTCACTTCATAGTGAGATTTCTCTGTAAAGAAATCAATATCTGTATTCACCCTTATAACTTAAACCTAGCAAGTTGCAACTAACCACTTAATTTGCGTGGCTTAATTTGCCAATTATTTAGAAAACCATCACAAAAAGTAAACCATTTCCAGCTCATCATTTAAACAACAAATTAAAAGAGAAGAAAACACATTTTCTGCTTTCTTTACATTTCTGATCAATTCACACGCTCCCTAAGATTTATTTTTTTAAAAAACAAATACAAAAACTGCAGGCCCAGTTTGTAATCCAATCAGCATAGATCCCATTTGAACCTTCCTCCTTCCATATTTACCTCAGACTTAAGGCTTAAGAGTAAGTCCCACTGAATTTAATAGAGCTTATTCCTGTGCAGACATGCATAGGATTTTGTTCTGATTTACTCACAGTCTACTCTGCCTGAAGATGCTGAATTGAAAACTCTGTCTGCGTACATTGATTTGAGGGGACGACGGCCCAGTAATCCTTAAATCATGTAGCTCATAGTATTGTCTTCATTTTTTCCTTGTAGAAGAAACATTGAAAACTATACTAGAAGCCAAGGCAAGAAAACAAACCCTTTCTGCTTAAATCTCTTCCCATGCCTCAATTCTCAGTATTCATTATTTATCTGTAGGTTTGGCCAAAGATACCAATTACAGCAGTTGCTTTGGCAGTTGGCTGGCATACAACCCCTCTGCACCATCAGGTTCAGTTCAATATGTATGTATATATATTCTCATTCTCTCTCTCTCTCTCTCTCTCTCTCTCTCTCTCTCTCTCTCTCTCCCTCTCTCATGTTCCACAATTAGATTTTCTTTTGCACTTCAGGGCAGGCTTTTAAAACTGAAACAGCCCTAATTAAGAAGGGTCTGAGGGGGAAGACAGAGGCTCCTGCTACCCTTATGACACACTTCATTATGCACTTTCCGCTTTGCTGAGGGTCCCCTGCTGTACCTGAGCTACAGAACTGAAGGTAATCAGAAGGGATGCAAATTAATTGGCTTTCTCCCCCTACATTCCTCTCCTGATTTTAACCCATCTCTCTCCACTGGTGGGGGAAAGCTAGCCGCACATTTCTCTCCATTTCTCCAAATTCCAACCAGGAGATTAATTGAAGCAGATAGACAAAGAGGCTCTCATTAAAGAGACAGAGATAATACCGACAAAGGGACGAGAGAAAGAGAGAGATCAGAACGAAACGGAGGAGTGGTCGAATAGAGAAGGCTGGCCAAAGATTGAGGACAAGGTAACAAATGGAGTCCTTCCGCTCTCAAGGCTATGAAGAAGGACAAATGCCCAGGACTTTCAAAACACAATTCAAAAGAGGACCTAGAGATTTAAAAACAAAACAAAACTTTATCACAGTTGCTCAAAGAAACACAGTTTTCAGGTGCCTTGCATATGCTTAACAGTAGTGAAGAAATAAATCCATGTGAGGGTTGAATAGCAACTGAGCCAGTCTGTGCTCTGACCTTGCCTTCATTGATGAAAAAGGTTTGTGGTGGCCTGTGACATAGCTCTGGCCCCCAAAGGCCCTTTCCGTAAGGTCTGCCAGCCGCTTCCGGTTGGCCCTGCGCTACCCCCACCCTGTTTCTCTCTCCTCTGCCCTTCCTGTCCTCTAGCAACACAAGTACAAACTGAACTAAAGAACAGACAGGGAAAGGGAGTCAACTGCAGGTAGGCAGGCAGGCCCCTCCTGGGCGAGGGCAGAAAAACCCAGCCAGCCTGGAGCAACTTTCCACAGGGCACTCTAGTCACTGCACTCTGTGGTCAAGCCTCCAGCCCCATAGCCGTGCCCAATTCCTGCCACGCTCTCTTCTCCCTTGTTTCCCCAGCCGTGATCAAGCTGCAGCTGCAAGGAGAAAAGGAGAGAGAGATGCAAGCAGGCAAGCATGGAACATGGAAAAGGTTTCTCTTAGGATGGCCAGCGTAGGGGCAGAAGGGGGGGGCGGATCTCAGAGCTGTCACGCTAGGAGAAGTGCCTGCTTGCCTCCAGCAATCCCCTGCCCTTCCTCTCTCCTGCCCCACTGGATCACAGCAAGGAGAGAAGGGCAGGCAGGCAGGCGTTTTTTGTCAGACGTGCTGTGATTTCTGGATAATTCTCTCTCCCTAGTTAGAGGAATGATGCATGTAAACAGGGAGGGTGTGTGGAGGAATGTAAATGGGGGGGGAATGTGAAGGGATGGACAGATTGAGTGAAAGGGGAGGTGCGGATGAACGAAGGGGAAAGACAAGGATGGAGAGAGGTGACAGAGAGATGGGAGCTCCTGCCCATTTTTGGTTCTTGCCCCCATCTACTTTCTGTTTGAGCCTCCTGTATGTGCCCTCCCCCAACCTCACTATTTTCTCCCAGGGGAATGTGGTCATTCACCTGCAAAAGACTATACAAAGCCAGCCCCAAGAAAGAAAGAAAAAGGACACGTCAAAAAAAGCACAAAAGCAGTGAAAGCAAAATGGAAGTGGAAATCATGAGTTACAAGACACAGGAAATGCACACATCCCCAAATAAGGGGGAAAGTGTTAACTTGAGAGGTGTTGGGTTGCACCCCCAGAGGAACTCCTCATCCCAGGAGCAATTGCCAGCAAAAACCATCCTAGTGAAGAAGTGAGTCAAAAGCAGGCCCACATTAAGCAGGATGCAGCCCACTAGCCATGTGTTAAGGCCTGCCACAGGTTCAATACACTTCTTGGAAAGGAAAGGAAAGGAAAGGAAAGGAAAGGAAAGGAAAGGAAAGGAAAGGAAAGGAAAGGAAAGGAAAGGAAAGGAAAGGAAAGGAAAGGAAAGGAAAGGAAAGGAAAGGAAAGGAAAGGGAGAGAGATTTGTCAACTACCTGCAGGACACAGGATACGACTGGTTGGCTGAATTTGACTTGTGGGGGTCAGCTGCTGGGAAGAGTGGCAGCAACATGACTTCAACCAAGTTATTAAAAACCCCTCTTAATTATTAATTTTTAAATAACAAAATTTCCAGGGAAGAATCTGAAAATGTTTAGCCTATTTCTTTATCAGGCTGCCAAAGCAAAGGAAAACAATATCTTCTTGGGAACCAGCAGGGAGGGGGAAAATATTTGACTTGACTCTGGCACAGCTGAATTTAAAAATATAATTTAGTCTGATCCCACCCCCAACTTAATAAGCTAGCAAAATTTACAATTTTTCAAGCTCTGTGTTATTCATTATCTCTCTCTCACAGCTTTTTAAAAAGAATATTACCAGGAAGCACTACCTGGCCTTGGAAAAAGGATGTCTTCTGAGGTCCAGTTCAGATAGGAGGAGCCACTCATGGCATTGGTTCAAGTGTGTGCAGAGTCTGCTAATGGACTCACATGGAGTCACTATTTATATTAAATGATACAACCACAATACTATTTTTTTATTGTATTTATTCTCACAAAAAGCGGCTAAAAGTGACTTACAGAATAGTATAAACATTAAAACTAAATACTTAAAACCCCCAAAGAGAAGAGAAAACTAAAATCAT